AGACAAGTGGACACAGAAGAAAAATAAAGGCAAGTTGTCTGTAATGAGAAAAAGTAGGAGGATGTGGATAAACTGCAAATGAAATGAAAAGCAGAAATATATGATTTTTGTCCTTCAAACCTTATCCAACAGCCTTTAGCTGTACACTTAGACATATTAACTTCTGCATAATCAGCTGGGAATAAGCTGTATTTATATGMGTGCAGGCTATGCGCTAGTTCTGAAAAGAACAGGTAGAATATTTTTTAATGTTTTGGGGTTTGTTTTTTCTTGGGGGGTGGAGTTGGCTGTTTTCTTTGGGTTTGTGTTTTTTTTTTTAGTTTCTTCCCTTTAGCTCAGTAAATCTGCAGTGTTCTGTGCGTCTTCAGTTACTTTTTACAGATCTTTCTCTTAAAAAGATTTTTATAAAACGTAATTCCAATAAATTTCCTGAAGTTAACTATAAAAGCTAGTCACATATTAATTCAATAGCCCGATATTAGCTGTAATCCATAACATTACCAGCATTACACTGGTAACAATTACAGTGGCAATACATAACTGCAGTGTGTTTTGAGGGCAGTATTTTAATAAGGTAGGTGTTTAGTTCCCTGCAGCAAATAAAACTGGTGCTTTTGACTGCAAAGCTGCTTGGACTGGAAATCACAACCGTTGCCAGTAAGGTTTAGAAARTGTGTGCCAGGCAAGGGAATCACTGTTCAATGTATTTACCCTCTGGGGAGGTAAAACACAGATGGGGGAGTTAGGAGCCTTCTAACATTTAGCTGATACATTAGTGGGTAGCAATTCTGCTTCAGGGATGTTCAAAGTAGTTCATCTACCAGTTGGGAATCATTATGGGCACTAGTACTGAGGATTAGATATGATAGAACAATAAGGGATTGTGAAAGTACCACTATCCTTCCCCCTCCCACAGACAAATGTTTCATAATCCTGGATACCCTTTTGCAGCTTTAGAAAACAGTAGCTCTGGATTAATGGGATGTTTTCAGTATATATAGCAAGCTCCTGTCTTGAAGAAGAATTCAGCTGTTATAGAGAGATATGATCTGGGAATATGTATTTTTACCAAAATTATGTAAAATAACTTCTCTACATGAAAAGTAGGATGGTTATTATCTGTGTTCTTATCAGTGAGTTGGTGTGAGAAAAGCTTGCCAAAGAATTTGTGTTTCGGGATTGGTTAAGCAGAGGCAACAGTGGCTCTCTGGGATTGTTTTTATGCTATGACACACTAGGCTATGCTTAAAAACTGTAAATTCATCATGGAGGAAAGGTGATCACCTTTAAGGAAAGGAAAAACATGGTCAAAAATCAGGAGAAATCAACTCAGCATCTGTTGAGTTATGCTCAGTTATCTTCTGCTTACTTTTACCCTAGCAATCTCACCTGAATGTACATTAACTCTTTTCCTGTTTTTTTTTCTATAGTCTTGAAGTTAAAGCATTTTCCAGAATGTACAAACAAACAGCTAATTTCATTGCACTTCTGTCTGCAYGCAGTGAAATAAAATATGATTAGCTAGCTGAAAATGTATAACTTTTCAATCAGTAGTTAATTCAGTCCCAGAACCATATTCACATAGGTTTGAAACAAAATTGACCTTCTTGTTTATGTAATCTGTGCATACAATAAGTGCCTGATTCAGTAACAAGCTACTCAACAATGTAGATTTTCTGAGACCCAGGAGGAGAAGCAAAATCTACCATTCTTCTGAATAAGCCRTCACCTGTGCACTGCTAATGCTCTGGAGTTTCTGCATTGGAAAGGGGCAAAATTAGTATAGGAGACAAATTCCTCCCGTTATGCAGAAGACAAAATTCTGATGGCCCACTGTTGAGCAGGAACAGGGAGGGGAAGGACCCTTTTCACAGCTCTCTGGCATAATTCCACAGGGCTGCTGCTGTATTTTCAGGGTAGGAATTTTTGGGGCTTTGCCCTAGAATGGACACTGGCAAATACACGTGAGAGCAGAACCTTTGGGCTCTGCACCCACTGATGCCCCAGAAACCTGTTGGCTGGATTTCACTTTGCATAGTGGAGGTGCCACTTTTTATTCTCTCTTTTCCTCAGACTGCGGCTGCAGACTCCTTGTGGTTATTTTTCTCACTGCCACTGGCAGAAATGGAGTAGGGTTTATGTTTGGGGTGGAAGAGCCCTGCTGGAGGCCCTGCTGGGATAGGTGCAGGGTGCTGATRTTGCTCTGTGTCTCACAGAACTCCCTTCATTGTGAAGACCCTGAGGATATGTGGAAGCTTTAGATTTGCTCTGAAGTTTCTGAGGCTGTTCTGTGCTATGTCGAATGGTTGCTTCTACTTGCAAACTGGAAAGGTTTGATGGCAGAGTGAAACAAATAGAATGCCATGGGTGTTAATTCACCTGTGGATGGAATTTTATTTTATATGCATATGTATTCTCCTCTGGTAAAATATTGGACTTTCTGCTCTTAGTTTCAAAAAAACGCTTTTAACTTAGGACATCTTTCTTTACTTAAATGTGTAGTAGGAAGCTGAATTTCACTCTTCAGCAATGTCTCCACCTAACAAAACTAGCATTGCTGTATTCAGTCAGTATTTACAGCATGCTAGTGAGTGTTACCGTGCCATTAACAAACCCACTGACTTGCACACCTGCATTTCCATGGCATGTGCGTGGGGGAAGAGAAGCAGTGGCTCACTCTTCCAAGGTGTCAGCACTGTAAATCGAGTGGATGGTGTCTCGTTGACTCTGCACCCAGATGGAGATGGACTTGAAACAATAGTGCTGACAGAGGTGTGAATCGTCTCACCTCATCTTAATGGGGTGTTAAATTAAAAACTTAGTTATGACCACATAAACGTTGTTGTTAAGACAGTTGTCCACAGCACACAAACCTAACATGAGTCATTGAACACATACATTTTACAGTATATTAAAATATTTATATTGTTAAATTGTAATATAATAGAACCTACTGGATTTATTTCTGAAATTTGGAAATGCATTCTGTCTTTTAAATTACTACTTAAGTGTTTAGTTTATTGATGTGTGGTGTCATTTTTAAATTCATAGCCTTCATATATGGCTTATTTAGATTGAGCATGATTTCTGTTCTTCAGAAATGCATGTGAAATATATTATAATTTTATTCTATTTTAAATAATTGGTTTTAAGAGTGTGCCTATATCTTGTACTGTTGAACTGTATCTGAGCATGATACCTCCAGGCCTTTTGCATAGTCTGGGAGTAGTATTTTGCCCCATATGCCACACTCATTTTCTTAGGAGAATTGCAAGTTTGTCACAAAAGGTAGAATTTTCTCAGGAAAAAAAAAACAAAACCTAAAAAACAACAAACCAAAACAAAGAAAAGCCAAAAAACCAACCTAAAAACCTCCCCAAGCAATCAGGTACAACCTCATACTGCCATGTCTGATGGCTTTCTTTGCAGAGCTGCTGTACATGTGTGTCTGCTGTGTAGGTATGCAGCAAATGCTTTGCATCCCAGTTATGTGAGCCTCACTGCACGTGTTAGGGCTGTCTGTGTGCACAGTAAATCCAGCGTGTCTGGAATGCACCAGGCTTGCTGGGCATAAGCAGATCACCTACCTGCTGTGGGGTGTGGAAAACTGTACATTGCTTCATTAGGTTGGGCAGGTTTGGGTCGTGTAACCTCTCATGAACTGCTAACTCCAAACCTGTCCTGTTTCTCTTCTTCAGAGAGGAACAGTGGGAGATTTTCATGCTTTGGTGGAAAAAGTTTCCCAGGTGGGGAACATTTATCAGTAGGAGTCTGTTGGGAGAGTATCTTCCATGTCTAGAAGWTCAGAAGATGTTAATCAGAGAAGRYTCCCTCAGAATGGAGCCAGGGCWTCCCTCTTCTACCTGCRTTAATTTTTCAGAGCAGTRGAGTATGAYCTGGAGGGAGAAATCATATTTTTTWAAAGTGTTGATCATTTGGAAAGATTTTGCAGATCTCAGTCTATACCATYTCACTTAAATTTGCCTGTTGGTCTGTCAGGAGCAACCAAGGAAGAATCTTAGCTTTGCACTAAGATGCCTCATGAAATGGGTTATTAGGGATCCTTACCTGCCCAACAGAGAGCACCTTGGTGAGTACAGGCACAGCAGTTACTTTGTTTTGTCATAACAGGGCCAATATCAAAGGAGCAACA